AAAATATATACATAAATAAATACATACATATGTGCATATATGTATGTATGTACATATCTACATGTGTGTATACAATCGTTTGCTCTAAATTCTTAGTTGATGCAATTTTTATCCCATACATTTTTGCTGACCAAACAACCCGTTTGCCTGTCTAATCTGCTTGCCTNAGGGCAGAGCTAATGAGGCCCTCGTTTGCTTGCCGCTCTACTCTTGCGCCGCCCTCGTTTGCTTACTCGCTCGCTGGCTACTCATCGCGTGCGCTCGTACCTAACGAGTGCTCATATGCAAACAGCCTCGCGTGTTCCTCGTGAGTTGCGCTAACTCAGAGCAAACTAACGAGCGAGCGAGGGGCCAAAATGAGGCAAATCCGAACCCTGGTGTAATGTGACATTGGCCATGATGACAATTTTGGTACTAAAAACAGAAAGAAAACATGGCGTAAGGTGCTTACCCTCACAGTGAGTGATCAAAATCGCTTGGAACAAATTGAACGTTTTTTTGTGATATGAAGGAGACAACGACTCTTGCTTTTATGTAGCGAGCGGTATGTGCAAACATACTAATATACCTATGTACATATATATGCACATATTTTCAAAGTATTTATGCCCTCCAAAACAGCAACTTATCTCGCCGAAAGTTTTCAAATTATAAGTGGCTATAAATTATATGCAAAGGTACATAATAGAAGAAAGCAAAAAGGGTGATAAGCACCGCAGGTGCACTCGTGGAAAAAGTTTAGTAATAATAGGCTCATTACTAACGGAAGTCAATCACAGGAGTCAATGGCGATCGGCAGGTGGCGACCAGCGAATGCCAAGCTCTCAAAGTTGTAGCGCCATCGTGAAGGTGAATACCTCCAGCGTAACTTCGGTGATTATATTTCATTAATTTCATCGAATGCGAAAAATGCATGCAGTCAAGTGCTAAATTCACTATTATCTTCTCCGAAGTCAAGTGATTTGATTGGTTTTCATTTTCTTATTGGCTTGTATGCTACACAGCTGCCGTTGCTTATGCATATTTATCTCTTCTGCTTTTCTGCTCTTGTGAAAAGCGAAAATACTTTAAGATGCACATGGTAAATAAAATATGAGTACGAAGGAGGAAAGGAAAAGCGGAAAAAAGGGAGTTTATTGAATCGATGTTTTTTTTCACTTCAAACCGGAATATTAATTACATATTTAGAAAACACTGAATAACGCTGTAAAAATAGTTTGTTAATGTGGTCTATTTGTGACATATTGGAGCGCTTACAAAATGAACCACTAACTAAACGATGTTGTCAGGAAGTGGGTACTCCATGGAGTAAACGCTTGGAGTAGCTTTGTGATATTCTGATGTAATGCAGAGCTGGAGTATTTCGACCAGCCCTAAAATATCGAAATTTTAATTGGACCACATTTCTTATATGCATTTCGGTTAATTTTGGTACTCCTTGACCCCTAGGGAGTACTCTTTACATGCGTGAAGTAGTTACGATTTTTGCAGGGAATATGCTTACATATACAGTGACTCAAACAAGTGTTCATGTGTTGATTTTTTTATACCCGAGCGCACTTGTGCACAAGGGTATTATAACTTTGTTCACATAACGGTTGTTTGTAACAGGCAAAACGAATCGAGATAGATATAGACAAATGTATACATAAATGATCAGAATGAAAAGAGAAATCGNGGACTAAAATTACGACCGCTTTTCATATAACGGTATATTTCAGAAATGCTTGAAACTGCATTATTTCGAAATTTAAGGACGCTAATTTACTTAAAATTTATACACCCCGGCTTATCATGTAGCGGTAGCTTTCGGAAAGGTGGAAAACATATATTTAATAATTGCGCCGGGTATTTAATGTTCGGCTCCGCCCGAACTTAGTCTTTCTTACTTGTTAATATTCACAACGTTTTTGAAGTTAAATTTTGTTTGTTATTTTTCTTTGTTCATTGTGCAGGCTTTAACCAAAACCAAAAGTTTCAAACTTTATACAAAATTTAGGAAAATTAAACAAATTTTCAACAATATTTCGAGCTTTTAAATCCGAACTTTACAACAGTTTTGGGTATGCAATTTTATAGCCCATACAATTTTACTCTCTTGATGTGCAAGTTTCAAGCGACCCAAAAGTCGCGAGAATTTTTTATAGATTTTTATGCTGCCGGATTTTTGCACTTTTTCCATAAAAGCATGAATTTCTTATGAAATAAAATGCGGGCGACCGGTCGCAACAAAATTTAAAAAAATCAACGGCATTTTAAAAAAAAAATGTAAAAGCGGTCACAAAAAAAATCTCTAAACTCAACAGGATTTTTTAGCCCCTCAAAACTTGCACTTCATTAGACTAAAATTGTATGGACTATGAAACTGCATACCCAGAAATGTTTTACAAAATTCGGAACAAAAAGCACGAAATTTTTATGGAAATTTGTTGAATTTTCCTAAACTTTGTAAAAAGTTTCAAACTTGGCTAAAGCTTGGACAATATTTTTATAGAAAAATAAAAAAATTTAACTTGAAAAACATTGTGAATATTTAAAAAAAAAAAAATCAACACGTGAACACTTGTTTGAGCCGCTATACGTACATATTATATACAAAAATTAAATCTGGGGTTTTCACATTTTTCTACGTGTTTCGCCAAGCTTCTCCTCTAACTTGCGGTGTGCGTCGTGAAGTTGTTACACAAATAGATGAACATACATTTTTACGCCGTCCTCGAATGGAAAATTGTTTTTTATGAGAAGCTTTTTCATGGCAGAAGTACACTTGGGGGTTGACATTGCCTGCCGATGGGCGACCGCTATCGATCGAATCTTGGTCCCACAGAGTGGAGGTACGCATCACTAATCACTCTGCTACATAATTTCCACAACTAAAAAATACTTAAACCTGCCATCAATCTGCCACCACAAGCAAATACTGTTATAGCGAAATAAATTCAACGTACAAATATTTCTCATCAGCAGCTTAAAGATATGGCACATTCAGTAACATCGGTTGCTTTAATTCGATCAAAAGCTGTGCCGAAATCGCAGTAGCCACAATTCGTTCATTAAATGTGTCAAATGTCAAATTAATATTTATGTTGTAAATCAATCATTAAATCGGTTGCCTCATCAACACCGACCAATACATTTGGATTCTGCAATCTTCCCAAACACAGCAAATGCAGAGCCCATTTTGTAATAGCCTTCAGTTAATTAAAATCTCACATTTGATTTACACCATACCTGACTAAATCCAACTAATGCAAGTAAAAATTAATTACAGCTGTAAATGGAAATGCCAACTCACCAACGATGGTTACTCGGTCAAATACTCGAGCATATGCACATGCTTACATTCCAAAACAGTGCACATTGCACATATGTGCCTACATGCATACACACATATGTACATACATGTGCGTACATACATATATTGATGTCATGCATTCATATATTTGGAGGTCACATTCAATTAGCCAAGTTTTTACTGCACCTAAAAATCAAGTGACTTTTATTTGATTGTCACCAATTGAAGTCATATTGCACAATTTAACCCGTTATTGTCCCAGCCTTTTTTTTTGCAAAGTATCCATCTGAAACAAATTTACTTATTTTACTTGCTTTCTGTTGTTTCTTTCAGGTGATATCGATGACTGCATCGTAACACCGACCGTGCAAGGACAATTTACCCCATTGACGGAGGCTCTATGTGATGTCATAATGGACCTTACCGCAGAGGGTCATTCGGCTACTATAGAAAATGTGCGCATTAAGCTGAGCATACGATTTCCGCACATGACACCACCTGCCACGGAAGTGATCTACGATACGTTGGCACAGTTGATGCAAGAACAGAAAATATATCAGACCTCAAAGGGTTACTTCATCTTCACGCCAGAGTAAGTTGACTATAATTTATTTTATTTGGTTTCCTTAACCGGAGGAACCTCTGAAGGCAACCGATTACGGAAGGTCCGATCTGAAACTTCAGTTGCCTCAAATTATATCCAAAAGCCTGATGGTGAATGCACCTCCCCTTGTAGCGAAATCCTAGATGTTCTCTCGGGGACCCACTTCCCGGGGTGTACAGGAGCACCAAAGGGAGATGCACCATATCAAAAGACTTATCTTCTACAGCACTCAGTAGATAGCATATTGCCACAAGAAAAGGTGGAATTGGCTATTAAGACCTTTAAACCTTATAAATATCCAGAACCTTTTATGCCCACTACTTGCTGACATTTTCAAGGCATGGCTTGGCTTTGCCACATTCCTAGAAAATGGATGGATGGCTAGGATAATCTCCATAGCGAAGGTGGAAGGGTCTCTCATTTCAGTCCAATAAGCCTAACGTCCTCTAGAAAGACTTCGCGACACCCATATCCGACAGCGCCGTTCATCAGAGGACATGTCGGAGGTGCCAATATGCTTATTCTAAGGCCAAATCCTTGGACACTGCGCTGCATGAAATTGTGTCCAACAGTGAAAAGGGACTCGTCTCTAAGGAACTTACCTTAGGTATCTTTCTTGGCATAGAGGGTGCCTTTAACAATATTCTTCCAGATGACGCTGTGGAATTTATAAGACTTCTTCTTGAAAGAACAACTATCTCATCAGAGGTGGGGGCGTGTCCATTACCAGGCATTCTGTTTTCAGTTTTGAAATTGGTTTTTGTTTTATTCCTCTTTAATAAATGCTCATATAGATAGTAAAGTTTGCCAGAATTAAGGGATGTGGCCAACCTTTTCAAACTGAGAAGTAACAGAGCGCATGCAGGGAGAGCTACCACTCAAGGATTAGTTCTCTCCACCCTACTCTGGAACCTTACAGTAAACTCAATTCTGATGAAACTACAGAGTACCGGCTCTGGGCACCAGCAACCCTGCATAAGCTGAGTTACATTCAGTGTTGCCACACGATTTTTTTATTTTTTACCAAAACCACCAGAAAAAGGTACCAAATTCAACAAAAAATTATCAAACTTATTTTACGTGCTGAAGTATACATACATATTTTTGTACATATATCTGAAGACAAGAACCTTTCCAGGCAATCAGCGCTCCATTATGCTATAATTTTTATATCTGTGGGCACTGAAAGCTACAACACCAGAAATGCTTGGTTAGGATTTCAAAACTAAGCGTGGCCGAAGAAACAAATTTGTCGATTGCGTGTCGTTTTATGAGCGTGGTACTGTCTTATGACTCAGAATAGTATGTTTTGCATTTGGATATACACCTCCATTCATACAAACCTCAGGTCACAAAACAACTGAAGGCATATGATCATTCGCAGTGTCATGGATACCGTCCATTGCAACAGATGATTATCAGACATATAATTTCCCGTAGAGGGGATTTCATTTGGCCACTGATATCATCCGACTTGGCCTCTTTGGACTTTTTTATGAGGCTACTCGGATGGCCGTATTTATGCGAATACTTAAACCTTAAAATTTGGAGCACTTTAAAATCAACGTTTGTCCAGTTATTGCCAACATACCTGTACATATGTTAACAAATGCCGGAAATATTCAACGGTTCAAGGCAGTCCTGAAAGGTTTCGACTCACGTGAAGTGCCCTACTGATTACCGTAGCTTGTTGAGCGAAAACATATCGTCGATGTTTTTACAAAACCGCCAATCGACCAATTGCGAAACCGCCTATCTTATGGCACTAAAATTTTGCAGGAGAGCGAAAAAGCGGTTTTTCTTTGAAGGCATTGCCTGATAGGCGATATTTTCTCTAACTATTATTTTACAAATCTGTTGTTTTAATAACGATTTATAAATTTGTATGCATAAATCTCGATGCCTGGAGTTCAGGGTTACCAAATGGCATTTTTGCAAAACGGCGTATTAGGTGGTTTTGCAACTGGTCGATGGACGGTTTTGAAAAAACATCAACGATTTGTACATATTTACATAGAACTTTACTCATATGGTTGTCGGAGTACACGGGAATATTGATGGCAAATGCAAAGCTGCTGAACTGACAAGGAAAGGTAGGACCACCCACAACCTTCCAGGATAGGACTCAGTAGATATAGCAATAGCAACTTTCAAGTAGTTTGTTCGAGATCACACCATTCAAGAACCAAGGAACGCTGGACCAAGTTTTCGCCTTGCGAAACTTTCAGGATATTACTGGTTATTTGTATAAAAAGAAACGCTTACGGGACACATCCTAATGTGGAATCAGTTCCTGTATTGATCTTTGTGACATGTAGGACCGAATCGAAAAAGTTACCAAATTGAAAAATAAATTACCAAATTACCAAATTTGATAAGTAAAGAAAAAAATTACCATTACCAAGGATGTACCGCTATCCTTACGGATGGGTAGTGATAGAACGATATGAGTACCGAGTACAGAATATCGATACTTTTCATGAGTACTGAGTAGCATCGGGAACTCGATACTTTTTGACAAGTACTGAGTAAGTATTGCGAATACCAAAAAATATCGAAGTTTTAAGAACCTTTTTTAAGTAAAAAAAAATTTTAAATGCATATAAAAAATTTCGATCTTTCAATTAAAAATGTTTTAAAATTAACCAATAAGCATCGTGGCGAACGTTCGAAGATATTCTTCGATAGCCAATATGAATGTCGTGAAAAGGAACATAACGCTCATATACTTCAACACTGTCTTACCCTAAAAAAAAACCTAGAAAAACCGCTTTAAAGTTTTGAACTAACATATACTCCCATAAAAAAAAAATTAATACATATTTTGTTCTACTGGAAATCGGTACAGCTATGAAATTTTTACACACCATAGAAGAAGGGTTAGCGGCCATTTCAACGCTGGGCTTGGCTAAAAATTCTTAAATAATTGAATGGTCGCCGCGAATAACGTTGTAAGCGACAGGATTATAATTTTGCAGAAATAAAAAGAAAATGTGTTTAATGACGCACATACATACATAAACTCGTTTGATTTGGGTTTCTACTTTTTCGGTACTGGACTATTCAATAAAGTTGCTCTTAAAGTATAAAATATGAATGTACAATTTACATTGTACATTTATATCGGTAACGTTAAAGAAACTTGTTATTCGCGGCGACCACTCAATTGGAGAACGAATCTCTTGCTTCACCTTCTATAATAAATGGGTATGGTCTTCGACACGATAACTTGGCTATTCTCCAGCATTTTCATTTTAAAAGTAAAGTGGTTTATAAATATATTTACCCGTCAAGCATTATAGAATATTTGCTGTTAAAAACTTATAGCTCTTTGCTATAAACGATTACTTTCCACATGGGCGATTCCACCGTCACGGGTTGGACATTTGTACAGAAAAAAATTTCTTTCTTGTTTAAATTTAAGTATAAAGTACTCAACCATTCTAAATTTTGAAAAAGCTACCTAATTTACTATTATATGAGTTATTACAAAGTACGAAAAAAATTCCAACTTACTTTTATGTGGAAAAAATCTGATTTATTTCTTCTGCCACGGGTGGGATAAAAAAACTGCTTTTTGGAGCAGATATATTTTACGGAAATTTTGCCAATAGATTTGACTTTTCTGTGCGAACTTGATGTCTTGATGTCTTATAATAAAACAAAGAACCACGAACACAAACAAAGCAAAAACTACAAAAAATATATGGCTTTATTATACAAAAAATCCGAAATTCTTCTGCCACGGATGGGACAACGTTTGTCACGGGTAGGACACGTACGAATTTTTATATGAAAAGGAGCTTTTAGTGTGGTCCATATATAAAGATTAGTTATTAAAAAATATAAGTAGCCAAGTAGGGGTTAAATTCACTCACATTTAATCTTAGGATGGTGCCTTTTATGTAGAAGAAAATACTTAGCACCGTCAGCCAAAAAAATTATTAAAAATTAACGTCTTGAAATTTTCACTTTTATCCACTTAAATTTAATGGAATACAAAACTGCATACCTAAAAATTGTGAACAAAAAGTTTAACATTTTTGGGCGTAGTTGTTAAAGTTTGTTCAATTTTTTTAATTTTTATGAGAAGTTTGGAATGTAGATTTATGTGGTTCTGGTTAGGTGATGTGCTAGACAAAAAACTATAAACATTAGATTAACAAAACAAAAAACCAAAAATGGTCAAAATGTAACTTAACTTAATCAGCTGACCACAAGGGCATATAGATAATGGACGAGTCCGTGCATCCCCCCTCCTGCCCTGCGTCCACATCAACAAACAAATAAAGCTTATCAGCCCTGTTAACCTACCTCTGAAAACTGTCCCACACATAGCTGTCACGGGTGGGACATGCTTCTCTGTTGAATTATTCTTATCTAACTACGTGGAAACGACAATGCAAGTGTGGTAAATATTTGCAATGAAGTTCTAACATTATGTAACAAACACGAAACACAACCTCAACTTATGTAATTAAATATAACAACTTTTAGCGTTTTTTGTCACGGGTGGGACAAGGCCAATACTTCTTAATAATAACTCATAATATAGATAAAGCAGTNTATATGGCTTTATTATACAAAAAATCCGAAATTCTTCTGCCACGGATGGGACAACGTTTGTCACGGGTAGGACACGTACGAATTTTTATATGAAAAGGAGCTTTTAGTGTGGTCCATATATAAAGATTAGTTATTAAAAAATATAAGTAGCCAAGTAGGGGTTAAATTCACTCACATTTAATCTTAGGATGGTGCCTTTTATGTAGAAGAAAATACTTAGCACCGTCAGCCAAAAAAATTATTAAAAATTAACGTCTTGAAATTTTCACTTTTATCCACTTAAATTTAATGGAATACAAAACTGCATACCTAAAAATTGTGAACAAAAAGTTTAACATTTTTGGGCGTAGTTGTTAAAGTTTGTTCAATTTTTTTAATTTTTATGAGAAGTTTGGAATGTAGATTTATGTGGTTCTGGTTAGGTGATGTGCTAGACAAAAAACTATAAACATTAGATTAACAAAACAAAAAACCAAAAATGGTCAAAATGTAACTTAACTTAATCAGCTGACCACAAGGGCATATAGATAATGGACGAGTCCGTGCATCCCCCCTCCTGCCCTGCGTCCACATCAACAAACAAATAAAGCTTATCAGCCCTGTTAACCTACCTCTGAAAACTGTCCCACACATAGCTGTCACGGGTGGGACATGCTTCTCTGTTGAATTATTCTTATCTAACTACGTGGAAACGACAATGCAAGTGTGGTAAATATTTGCAATGAAGTTCTAACATTATGTAACAAACACGAAACACAACCTCAACTTATGTAATTAAATATAACAACTTTTAGCGTTTTTTGTCACGGGTGGGACAAGGCCAATACTTCTTAATAATAACTCATAATATAGATAAAGCAGTCACACAATTTAATATATAACACAATTTTATTAAAAGCAGCTAAGTTCTACTATATATATTTCTTACCAAACACTTGAATTTTGGATGGAAAATTATTTGACAGTGCTTTCAGCATAACCTACTTTAAACTCAATAAAAAAAATTTACTTAGACCTTGATTTCAAAACGTGGAAAAGGTAATAAAAATGCATTTAAAAATTTAATTTGTTATTTTTTGGCTGATTCAAGATTTTTACAAATGCCTTATCCACACGTTTGTTAGTTTTATAAAGAAAATAATTTTTGCACTGAGGTTCACTTTCCCATGGAACCTCCCGCATGTAGAAGTAAACTTACTGCAAGTTTATTTCAAAACTTCTTTATGAAGTGCTATTTGAAGCAGTGTCTATTTAATTTACAAATAGTAAGAGGTCAGTAACGCAAAGCAATCTGATTTTTGTTAACTTTTCGTGTTTGATTTAAAAATACTTGAAAGTACAAGTATTATCTATACTTTTTTGCGAATGTGAGTACTCGCATCGATACTTCTTTATAGTTTTCTATATGAGTACTAGTATCGATACTTTCCTAAAAAGTTCTATCACTACGGACGGGTCGCAGCTCTACAATAAAGTTGGACTGAACTATGCTCAGTAAATTCTGCATTCGATGCAGGCGTCCCCCTGTCCTCGATTAAGCACCGACTGAAGTCTATTTTCATTGAATTTGCCAGCGAACGATGGGCGCGGAAGAACCAACATGTTCCGTTACAAATCAGATCTGGTCATATATTAAATAGAAAATATCCAAAACTGTTATACAAATCGACCACCCCATTATTAGCATAGTTTTCGGTATAACTACAGGACACTGCTAATGGGAGCGCATGCTAGGCGAATGGATTACCCCGGTAACGATTTCTGTCGTGCCTGCAGGGACGAAGAGGAGATGGATAGTATAGAACACTATCTCTGCCACTGTCCCGCTGTGGCAAGGTCAAGACTTGCTATTTTTAATGAACATGCGTTTCGGTGTTTAGCTAACCTCGGCTCTGTGGACGTCCGCGGCCTTCAACGATACGTTAAGGTTACACTATGGTTCTATCATAGGGGAAACTAAGGGAAAGGAACAAGAGCTCCTAAAATGGTAGCACCACAATGGGAAACAATTGGCCTAAGTGTGTTTCTGCCGGTCTATGCAGAGTGGAAACCACCATAACCTAAAGTAATCTAACTGAAATAAACTATATTTCGGTTTATTCTGGGTTCGAAACATTACATATCCCCCAAAAAGACGACCGCTTTCAGGAATTAATAGAAAACCTTTTTTGGTGTTACTCAGACCGGTAATCGAGCCTGGGACCTCTCTAACCACTGGACTATGACAGAGGCTCAGACTTAAACGATTAAGCAACAATTTTCGCTCATATTCTTGATGTTGTCAGCGGTTTGACACAACCAGCTGACGGGTACTTTTAATTGGTTTTGGGCAGGGATTGAACCCGGGTCTTACGGCGACGGCATAAACCGCTTAAAATATGAGCATTGGCCAATATTTATCTAAAATCCATTTATCAAATATATTATTGTTCATTATTGGCGCTGTAACCGCCTAAGCGGCCGAGTCCAAAGCAGCACACGAGTCATTTCGTTATATGCGAACTGATGCCAATTGGAAATGCCAAGTGAACCCAAGTCCTTCTCCACCTGGTATTTCCAACGAAGAGGAGGCCTTCCTCTTCCGCGGTTATTATCATCGCGACCCGCGTTGAATACTTTAAGAGCAGGAGCGTTTGGGTCCATTCGAACGACATGACCTAGTCAGCGGAGCCGCTGAACTTTAATTCGTTGCACTATTTATATATCGTTGTAAAGCTCATTCAGCTCATCGTTAAATCATCTACGGTATTCGTCATCGCCAACGCGTAATCTTAATCTCGAAAACTCTAAAAGCTGCTTCATAAGATATTTTCATTGTCCAAGCAGAGTTGGTCTCAATTGGTATTTATTTATAATAAGCGCGCGTTAACATGTAGAGTCCAGTTACTTGCTATATATTTAAAATTCAAATTGAAATAACTGCAATCCGATTATCTCTAATAACCAAATATAAATATTTTCAGACGACGCCGAAGCCGTTCCCGACCGCGTGCCATACGCAACGGTTATCAGGACTTTGAAGAAACCGACGAAATACCTCAGGAGGCGCGGACTATGCTCATGACCAACGCGGAGGCGCTTCATTCATTTTACGGCGAAATCTCCACCGAACGAGATGGCGATTTAACACATCAATGCATACAAACTAATTTGGCCGATGTTATTTGTGGCGGTAAGCGATTGCACAAATTGGATGTATTGGTGCGTGTTATACTCGATTTCCATACTTTGTTTATTTGGTAGGTAATCCAAATGATAAAATACTTTATCCGCGCGCGGCTAAAAGACGCAGCGCCTCATTCCCAACACCTCGCAGCCTGGAGAGAAGGCACAGTTTGCGTTTGTTTGGATCTTCGAAACGATTGCAGCGATGCGCGTCGACACGAAGCCTCTCGAAGACATACGCACAAACCTTAGCCACTGACAGCAGCAGCTCGGAGTATCAAAGCACAGATTCTTCGTCACCAAGTAAGTGCAACATTTGCTTGAGTCAATCTTATGAATATGAGTAAAAGTATATAACATTTTAAAATTAGTAATTCGTTGGAAATGACTTACCTTAAATAGCAGATCAGCTAAATCCGGTAATTTTTGTTGTTCTAGAAAAAGGATCTTTACTGTCGCGGCTCTTCAGACGGAGTGGGCGTGCCAAGCAACGTCAAATTGAAACGTATTCAGCGCAGTTCCCGCCTGCCGAGTGGTTCAATTCCCGAGCTGTTCATCTGCACAGTGTTGGCACACAAACAGCCGATCACGTAAGTTTCAGTCCAAAGATTTTTATATATAAAATTGGTTATTTTATATAATATATCTTCAGGATATGCCGGTGGTGCATACGCTTTCCAATTCCACATTCTACGATGGTTCGGAGTTAAGTCAACGCTCGCTTACACTGCCACGCCGACATCGTCGCCACATGTCCAGCGACTCGAATTTTCTCATATCATCCCGAGATTGTTCGCCTATACGCCGGCGCTCACCGGTGTACAGCAGCAGTTCACTGCCCCGTTCAACGCAATCCATACCAGCTACGGCGATCGGTACAACGAGTATCACCACCGCTCCAGCGCCCACGAACAAAATCAATCACTCCTCCGCGACGCTTTCAAGGCTTTCCACCCCGAATCAATCCGCGGCTGCAGCGACTGTACAGAAATCTGCCTCTAAGAGCGTTATCGGCAAACACATTTTCGAGCAGTCACCTTCCCGCTCGTCTAGCAAAACAACATCGAAACGACAGGCAGACAACATTATAGTGAACGGCTATGCCAGCAACTTGGAAAGCGGTAAGGTTTGTTATCGCAGTGTACAAAGTGGTCCATCTAGTTTGGAATCGGGCAAGGCTTCTTCCATGCTTACCTCGGGACCATCGAGTATTGATAGTGGCAAGGTGTCATTCAGCAAAACCAGTGGTCATTCTAGTCTTGACTCGCAGTGCTCGACCAATACGGCAGTGGTGCAACCAAGTCCGGCCAGATCGATACTTGTATTGAATGGATCGCCGCGCGGAACTCCGCGTCATCAGGCCATGCGCGCTCGTGCCGCTGAGCAATCACAGCGCCAACGTTCCTCAACTCCGTCACGAATATTGGAGGAAATCACTAATCAACAAACGACAACAGGAAGATCGCCAAATCCTTCTACGGGGCAATCTCTCTTTAATGGCATGCCCAGTTCGAACTCCAACAACTCAATAACGCTGCAGGTGACTACCTCCAATGGCAGTCAGAGTAACATACCTAGCACGAAGATTTATGTGCAAAACTCACCGGCGCGTAGCGTTATAACGCTGGAGAATGGAAAGCTTATAGAGAACTCAAATGTGTATATAATCAATAATGAAACGACAACTAACGAGAAGGGCGAAATCTTCAAGAAAACCTTATCGAAACAGGAAACTACGCCCCTAAGAGGCCAACAACAACAGCAACAGAAAAAGAATCAGACACAATTGCAGACGCACTCACACTCGCAGCCAATGCCGACGCGCCACCAACAACCAATAACTGTGCAACACATTTACAAAGACAACTCGATCAGCGAGAATGAAGCCAATTCCGAAACATGCGACTCCATATCCTTTATTAGCGAAACATCGCCGGACAATCTGGACACGCTCAGCTCAACCGAAGTGATTGATACCTCAAAATTCACAAAGAATATCAACAATGATGCCACCATGAACAACAGCCGAAAATTGTGCTTACAACTGCCCCAACACGGTTCCAGCAACATTGTCTATAAGAACAATGTTCTGAAGAACGAATCCAACCCGAACTCCCCCAGCGGCGAAAAGACACTGGCGATGGCAGCCCTCGCTGCGAAGCAAGATTTCGAAATTGCAGGCTCAGTCGGTAATTTACGCTTCTACGAGAAGAACACAAAGGATGCAGCGCAATCAAAACTAATGAACTCCAATTGTGATTTAAAGAACCTGAATCGCTATGAGTCATCGGGTAATCTCCAAAAGACCGGAAACATGCTGAGCTCAAGCCCAGCCATCAATGGAGACGATCTTGCGCATATACTTCAAAAAAATATAATTGCTGTGGGTAGTGAGCCAAATTTAGCTTTAAAGGACAATAACTGTACCAATGCAAGTGACAAGTCCATCGAAAAGGAAGGACTCGATCGCCGATTCAGTTTATCGAAGGACCCAAATGGCGCAGTGGCGCCGCCAGCGGTGGGCAATGAAGACCTCTATAATTTTCCCAGTCTAACGGATTTATCTTTTAATTTTACCTCATTGGCGGCGCAGAAGATTCTGCAGGGTGTAAGCTTGAATAGTATCGACACGTTGGTGGAACTTAATATGGCTGCTGCTGCAGCTGCGAACAAGGAGAAGCAACAAAATAATCAACCGACGCCGGTCCGCACCGACTATGGAATGGTGTAGCAAAAATTGCAATAACCGATTGATAATTATCAGGGTTTGAATACAAAAAAAAAAGAAAAATTAACAAAAGAAATAGAAATAGGTCCATAGAAACTCCTTGGGTGGCATAATAGAGTAATGAAATCTTGATAAGCGCGAACACAACTTTGACTACCAAAACTAATTAATATGTAGAAAATTCTCTAAGTCGTTTTTAGTTTTGAAAAAAAAAATACTATAGCTCTTATCCTTAGTTTCCCCGAAAAAAAAATTCACCCAAAAATTTTTTATCCGCCCATAGTAAATACATGGAAACCAAATGTGAAAAGTTAACCGGTTCGGGGAAAATGAAACTCGGGATAAGGCTGTATGTGTATTTTCTGCAAACAGAAGGGGCTCGAAAATCACGAACACTTGCTGAACGGTCATTATTTGTATGAAAAATATTTTCGAGTTTCGTGTTGTAAAGCTTACAGGTTTTTGCAAAATTAACAAGTTTTCGTACTCGTTCGACAAAATAACCTTTGCTAAGATGGAGATATAGGGATTGGCTTTAGGTGCAAACTCCTTACACCTGCAGATCGCAAATGAGCCCAGGTTGTTGTAGAATTAAGAGCGAATTTCAACAAAGCCGGCTGAGATCGGAAGGCATATCTGTGGGCTTTTATGTCAAGTTCCATGATGCAATAATACAAGGTGTTATCGGTTGGCAGCTTCTCGCTCTAATTCCGCCATATTGACTGCCTTAGGTGAAACAGTGTTACTTCTTTAACAATTCTTTGCCTAATAATATAGTTGAACGTTTTTTTATTTTTGCTCAGTGTACACATTTTGTTTTCTTAAAAAGGTACTTTATCTTCTTTTATTTAATTTCATTACAAATATACTAAAAAAAAAAACAAATTTTGTTTAGGAGAAAATGTGAAATATTATATTTTTCCCCTTATGGGGATTAATTTCTTCCCGGTTTTCTTCTTATGCTACTGAGCTAAGACTGTGTCAAATCGAGCTGTCACAACTGATACCGCCTAGTATTATTGCATCATGGTCAAGTTCCACCATTTTTTCTGTATATCGCTACAGCATTGGAGCGTATCCAATCATAGTTGTAGTTTAGCAGAGGGTACTTTAGATCTTAAGGGAGTCAATTCCCAGCGTTATGCCGATGATCAATGACCTGCTTTGCCCAAAAAGCTAATGTGGTTTCAATCAGACGAGGCGGCACGCTACACGTCGCGCCCAGTTATAGCATTATTGCGCGATAAATTCCCAGGACGCTTAATTTCGAGATTCGGCGATGTGACTTTGGCTGTGTTCAGAAATGTAGCAAGCCAAAGCTTAATACAAGGTTTCTCGCCACGCGCCTGCGATTTAACGCCTTTAATCCGTTTTGTGGGGCTATGCGAATGATTGCGTTTATTCGAATTTCTAACAATCTCACAACCTTGAAGCAATCGAAGGGTAAAATGGCCGAGTTATTGCCATAATTGTGTAAAAAAAATCACCTCAAAGGGATTACGTCCTACAAACGGTCTCGTGGAGGACATTTGAATGATACGCATAATGGCTTAGTCCAGACTTTCTTTATAACACAACAGTTAATATTCAGAATAGAAAATCCTAGCTTATGTTGTTGTTTTAGCGGCTATTTATCCCACTTTTGATCAGCTAATCTTTCAATCGTCAAGCCAACTAGCGGTAGATCCATGAAATATGATCTTTCGACCAGGGGAAGGAGGCTATTGTCATATGGGGCTAGGTTTCATAAATAGGAGTTTAACCGTCTACAGCAGCCCTGGGCAGCGTCCGCATGGCGGGCGTATACATACACGCTCTGCTTGAGAAGGCAGCGAAAGCTTCATTCAACTGCACGATTGTTCGCACGCACACAGTGATATCAATTGCACGCACATTTCACAAATGCTCTGTCGAGGCTGCCCACCTCCGGTCTACAATATAAGGATCTTAGTTGCGCTAGAACTACGAGAGGCCCTTGTGGAAGCTGATACGCTTGTTGTTGTTGTTGTGGCTATTGAGCCCTGCTTAGAATCGGATAGTCCATCAAACGTTGTTGTCAATATCAACTATCGGAAAGCACAGGAAACATACTATTTTGAAGAGGTTGGCCAGATGGGAGGGATTTTAGTTGAGTTGGGTTGAGTGGGCATGTGAAGATGTGGATGGTGTTGTGAGGAGAACTTTCAAATGCTTACCATACGTTGGGTACGTCGGGGTCTACTCTGGACAAAGAGGAGTTTAACCTACAACAATGAGCCGGAGTTACGCAGGTCTCTTTCGGCAGTTGAAGCTCACTTTCTTCTACAGGTGGTGATTGTACTCCTATGACGGCATTCATAAGACGGACAGCTCATCCGCTGCTTTGAGGCAATCACGAGGCAAGAGATTGTGATAGTCTCTCGATGAATTTCGTTAATTGCCTGTCTGTATAGCATTGGATGCAGTGTTGTTGTACTTAATCCTAGATCTTGTCAGTGAGTTCATGAAAATGTTTTCTGACGTGCATAGGAGTTTCTGCTTTCAACAAAAAAGTGCCTGTTCAAAAGCAACCGATCCACTACGACATGCTCGTCATAATACTGTGTTCCCTCACTGAGAGCACCTAAGTCCCGCTATGCAAATGATGTTCTAACGTCATCAAAATACATCCCGCAACTCTCCGGAGTGCTGTGTTGTGGCATGTCTGTAGCTTTATCCACTGCGTGCTACTAGACCCCGATGACCAGACTGGCGCTGCATAGTTCAGAAAAGGTCGGCCAGTTGCCTTTTATGTTGCCAATAACGTTTAATTTTCTTCATCCCAAGAGCTGCAAGCGAACGACTTGAGGACTTTCTCACCGTTCCCACGGCAGTCGGGTCTACGTAACCGGAATGACCCACATCTATAAGTGTCTGGCCAAGGACTGTCACTCCAGATGGTTCTCCCAAAATTCTTTGGGGAATTATTATTATGTTACAACAACAACAATAGATTTATAGCAGCATACAAATTCCCCGAAGACTTTTTGGGGAGTGTTGCTGGAGTGACAGTCCTTGGCCAGATATAAATCTGGGTCGTTCCGGTTACGTAGACCCGACTGTCGTGGGAACGCAACAATAGATTTGTCACGGTGCTGGGTTTTATCGGCGATTGCGGTTGGCAGTTTACTCTATCACAGTCAGAAGTGGTACACCATCTTCATGAATTCCCAACTACATCCTGACCTCTCACGCCAACGTTATAATGTTTTGCGAGCATTTCGTGTGGGAGATTATTAGCTTTTTTGCGGTGAAGAAGCGAGCTATATCTATACGAGAGATATCCGTTTACTTTCGGACACCAATATCGAGCAATCATGAATACCTTAGACTCCTTTAAACATTGGTTACTTTATTGGTTAATTCATCGGAAATTCCATAATAAAATTTGGCTTTAATTATATGCATGGATTTCCAGCTAGCAGAGTCAAAGGTCGGTACCGTTTTGTATCGAAAAAAAGTATTGCATTATGTAAAAGAAAATGAGAAATAGAAACAGATTGTAGTCATATGTAGCTGAATTGAAAATGATAATAATAATTATATGTACTAATAAAACCGTAATATGGTGCATGCATCCTTTTGTTTAGGCCGCGTTTCTTTTCTCCATTTGTAGTTATCTCTTTTTGGCTTTGAATTATAGATACTGTGATGTTTGAAATCCAATCGTTTGTTTTTTTATATTAAACCTAAAGTTAAATAAAATACATTTTAAAAGCGGTTTATGTCCTATGAACTCCTCTATGTTCCCTGTTGAATTTAATTTTTTGCAAAACTTGCGTGGGACTCAGCTTCACACGTTTATTCACATGTCAGAGATGGTCTTAAGATACTTGTGTTTGTTTTAGCGGAGTTAGTTCCTTTAAAATCACCAAAATTATTGTCCATAATCATATCTGATAATTTTGTTTTCCGCTTCTTGTTTATTCAATTGTAATTAATGAGCAGCGTGTGTTTCGCAATTCCACGCCGAATTATAATCCCAACTGGTACAAAAAACTTTGTTCAAAGCAGCACAAAAAAAAACAAACATGAATGAAAATTTATAATCTTATAAGTTTATGTGACTAATTTCTTTACAGTGCCAAAATGTTTTAGTTTTTAAAACAAAACAAAAAATATTATTGAATTAATTTTTTTATCTTTACTTAAGATTTGCATTTTTTATTTAAATATACATACATATACTTACTAAAATTAAAACATATGTACATTTGTAAATGTATGCCAATATGCAATTCGTTTATTTATTTGGTTGGAATCTTTACAATGCCGCCCGCAAAATACAATAATAAATACATGTTTTGAATGCAACCACATGTATACATAAATATGTATACACATACACATATGTGTGTACATGCAATGTAGATCTGAATGCGTACTATATAAAATTTGTTTATTTTAATTTGTTAAATAATTTTTAAAAACTCAATTCACTCGTTTTACGGAAAATATACAGCATTCAATAGTGAAAATATGTCCCATACAAAAAGGAGCAATTAATTATACATACCTAATATTTTACAATAACTATAATTATAAACGTAATAGATTTTTTTTTTGACGTCGTTTTGCATTTCTCAAATGTTATTGACTAGTTGATTATACATTTTTAGTTTTATCAACTGTTTCTTTCTAAGATTATACATAGTTTGCATTTAAATGAGTTTGTTGTGCTAATACAACAGATATACGATTATTTCGAAAACGAATAAGACATAAGCATAAATGTTTAACAAAACAAAAACAATAAAATGTAGTATGGTTTGTGTAATATTTAACTTTAAGGAAATTAATAAAAAGTCTTATCACTAAAAATTTTATTATCTTGAAAGGCCTTAAATCGCATCATATACAAGTAGAATAAAAGGGAATAAAACCAGTATAAATCAAATAATCGTAGACCACAGCATTTTTTTGTTCATTTGTAGACTAACAGGTAAGGAAATTCTTTGAGAGGAATTTATGTATAATTTAAATTCAATTTCGCATGTTCGCATGCGTACAGCATGTTTATATCTACAAATACGCCCGGCTATTAGAGCGACTATTTTATTATCAGATATTTGATAAGAAAGTAAAAATGCTATGTCTTCACGGTTTGGCTGCTTAAATGTGCACAATATTCATTAATGATTTATATGGAGCTAATTTCCTTCCTGCGTGTTTGTTTGAACATCTGCTAAAAAATATAAATAAAAATCTTTGTGAACTAACAAATATTTAGTATGGCATATTTTCTGGTGTTTACAGTAAAATGAATATTTTCGCATGTTTTCAGTAAAATGGACATTTTATGCATAATTTTTGTTGACTTTTGAAAATTTTTCCGCCGACAGTGTTGCACTTTTTTTTCCATATAAAAAACTGAGCGTATGTTTTATAGAACAAATGCGAAACGCAAGTACAAGTATTATACCGACATTGAATGGGGTAAAAAACTGCATACTCGAAAGATATCTGAAAATTCTGCATGAAACATTTAAAATTTAAAATACAATTTTTTTTAATTTCTTGAAATTGTACGTATTTTGCAAAATTTTTTAAACTTTTAGACCTACTGCGAGCGCCGTGTCGAGTGCAAGTCATTTTTGAGAGTCAAGTCATATCGCAAACCACAAGGCTTTTGGCTTTTACCTAACCGGGACAACATATTTATGAAGTAATAAAGTGTAAAAATTAACTAAAATAATTATTATGAGTAGCACAGAAATAACATTGACTATTTTTCGAGATTAAGGCTACATGGCAATTAAACACATGTGTTTTTAGATTTTGCATTCGTTTTTTTTTGCGATATTTCGACTTCAGTCTGAATTCATCCTCAGAAATATTTTACAGGTCATCGGAAAAGTGCAGAAGTTGACAAAAATGCGAACACATTTGAGACACCAAATAAATATATGATAGGCCAGATGTGGAGTAATTTTTATGAAGATACGATACGGGTGCGTTCAGAAATGCATCAAGCCAAAGCATCAGAGTCTTTTATATCTAAACTATAATTGATGGAAATGTCTTATTTGCGCAACTAAGTTTCTATTTGGCTTTTAGCCGTGGTTGCGCATATTTGACATTTCTATAAATTATAGTTTAGATATAAAAGAGACTGATGCTTTGGCTTGATGCATTTCTGAACGCGCCCTACATAAGGGGGTTTTCACACGTTATTTAACTTCTTCAGATTTGTGTGAAATTCCAGCCTTTCCATGGTGCCATACCAATTTTTACTCGACACGACCGATGCCAATGTTGTCTAGTCGTGCATTTTCTTTAATTTACGACTTATGCAATGAGGCTGTTTGATTTATATGGCTTATGCTATAAGATTCCCTATATATTTATATAGGGTAATCTATCTGGACTATTTTCTAATTTTAAATAAAACACTTGAAACAGAACTGGATATCGGAGTCAATAATATTATCCGAATTAACATTCTCTGATAATTACTTTTTAAAAATAATTTCATTCCAATGTTGACCGCGACTACGCTGTAGGTGGAAGGAAGGTCCAATTTTCAATTATATTTTCCAACATTACGCGAATTACGCGAGTAATGCTGGCTCCCAAGTTTAGAATCATAGCTGGCTTATCGACGAAAACGTTTGACTTATCAAATGATAACTCGCTGAACCCATATGTTACGGGCTTCAATCTCAGGCAACAAAAATTTTGTTATCATGGTGCGGTAGCACTCGTTATTTGAGGTTTTTTCTGTATGCGGCCAAAGATTTTAATGATTTTTTTTTTTAAATTAATGTCAGAGAATACTCTTTCGTGTGATAAAAAAGATTTCGACATCCAGTTCTGTTTTAAGCGTTTCATTTACAAATAAAAAACCAAGGTCTAGATGGATCACCATATATATATTTTTGTAAAACATCAGTATTTAATTAAAATTAATGAATTTAACCCTGGACGTGCTTCGCTTTTTTTACCCTGGCTGCAAGCCTTGTCGAAACGACTAGCACGAACTTTGAATTTAAATAAGAAACAAACCACAATTAAAGAGAAAATACATTTGATGATTTTGGGTTTTTTTAACACATTAACAAAATATTAATTATATTCATTTTCAATATTACATCTAATATTGTTAGTCGCATCGACCACGCATGTCTAGGGTTAATATGAAAAAACACTTGTTACTATTGTAAAAACGGCCCCATTTTCTTTGGGTCACTGAATGTACATATCGTTACCTTAATTCACAAAGGCCCTAACCACTTTTTTTATTTTACAGAAGCAAGAAACATTATAAAAAGAGTATCAAAAACAGGTAGGGCTCTTTAAAAAGTGGCATGTGACTCCGTTATTTTGGTACTATCAATTTTTATTGAAGGTGTATTTCAATACATCCAGCTAAAATCTGTGAAAAATGCAGTTTCGAAAAAAGCGTTGGTTGGGCTTTTATGAATTAAGGTAACGATATTTGCTATGTATTTCTTTAAATGTTTGTGCTTTCAAGATTTTTTTAAACACTATTTATGACTACATATTTTGAAGTTTTATTCAGAGTTGGGCAAAATTTATTCGAATGACGAATAACAAATGAATAAATTGTTTTTCTTGTTATTTGTAAATAATAAATAATTTTGTTTATTCAAAAAACAATTATTCGAATGACGGATAAATTATTTTATTCGTTATTCGAATAACTATTATCTTCACTAATTATTCGAATAACGAATAAAATAATAATAAAACAAGTAATTTATCTATATATAGATATGTACATATATTTATGTATAAAATGATAACCGTTTTTGTTACGATTTAACTCAAACCCCTGGATAGATTTAAATCAAATTTTCGGAGGTTATTCCATCTATTTATTGCACAATCAGGTTGCAATTCATAATGGTGCTGCAGTCGAAATCATTAGAAACCCCATATGTCTGGACTACTTTGTTTTTTATGTTTATATTATACGAATTTACGATGTCTCACGTCGTCATACACCCTAAATGCGACCTTGCATCTACCTCCGCTTGATGAAATTGCTCGGGCGGCCATTGCTGCAGCAGTAAGACTCAAGGAAACCAGCTCTTGGATATTTTAAAAGTGGCGAATCAGCAAGGAAAGTTTCGCCCACATCCTTCCAAGAAAGACCACTGTTGGTATATCAATGACCAAATTTTACATCGAGGATTTTTGGCTCTCCTATAATAGAAAACGCACATCTGTGCTCTTCAGCTTCCTTATAAGGACTTTTGTTGGCCTACATGACATAAGACTAGAGGTTGACGCATCGGACCAATGTTGTAGTTGCAAGATCATAGAAGAAGATTACGCACGCTTAGAAAAGATCTCACAAGTGGAAATAAGACCATCGGTAACGCTCATGACATTGAAAGGAATTTTTTCTTGCATATAGCATCGGAGCGCTATTTTTTTAGCAGAAATATGTGTGAGAAGGGTTCTGCTCTTTAGTTGTTCAACCTAAATTAAGAATTTTTACTTTACCCATATTTGGTTTTCAACGCTATTCTTGCATTGGCCAACGCAAAAAATCTTATCAGGGGCCGCGAAACCANCATTATTTAAAATAACGAATAAAATAACGAATAAATTATTCGCTAGCAATAAAATAACGAATAAATTATTCGTGAATAAGTTATCTGCGAATAATTATATTACGGATAAAATTTTATTCGAATAATTATCTAAATAACAATTTATTCGAATAATCCCCAACTCTGGTTTTATTGCATATTTTAAGTTAATATTTTTGAGTGTTAGACGCATATTATATGTGCATAATTTTCTCTCATGTCTCATCTCAATGATCTCACCATATTTAGCGATAGGTATTTTACCAGTTCCATCTGAAAACAACTGTTAGTTAATAGTCAACAAAAGTACACTATGCTTTAGCACATACAGATGCGTGCAAGTAATTAGCAACGAAATTCAAAACGATATTGCTTGCAAATTATGTTTATTTATTTATTTTTAATAATTTTCATTTAATAATTCATTTCATATAACACATGATCAAAATATTTTTTTACATGGAAAAAAATCCGCAACACCCTCGACAAAAAAAATTCAAAAAAATCAATGGTAATTTTTAGCGACTTGAAACTTGCACTTTATTATACTCTAATTGAATGGGCTACAAAACTGCATACTCGAAAATTTTCTAAATATTCTAATTAAAAATTTTGAAATTTTGATCACAATTTTTTGAAGTTTGATTACTTTTTTTGCAATTTGTGCAAGCTTTGCAACTTTTGTTATTGTGGTTTCTGATATAGATTGAATTATATTTTAAATGAAAATTATTAAAAATAAATAAATAAACATAATTTGCAAGCAATATCGTTTTGAATTTCGTTGCTAATTAGTTGCACGCATCTGTATGCATGTACATTGAAAAATCTGTATGTATGCTTGCGAATGTACAAAGATCACTGGTTTGTTAAATTATTACCCAAGTTTTATTCACTGCCTTAAAGTTTTTTCTTAGAACAAATTTATAATAGAAATAATACCATAGATATACCAAAGTTATATTAAGTTATATCCGAGCAGCTATTAAATCTTAAATTTAATGGTCTCATAATAAGCGACCTAGTCGGCCGCTATGGTGTAGTGGTCAGGTCGGAGGCTGAGGTGCAGTGGTAAGCAGTGCGCGCTTTCACTCATCAGCGCCTGTATGTATGTATATGTATAATACCTTCGCGAAGTAATAGCTAAAAACAGCATGTACAAACATATTTACATAAACCTCTTTTTTGTAACAAACAAATTATATAGTTCTAAATTCTTGGCATAGTTGCTAAACTAAAATGCCGCCGAATAATGTAAAGAATTTAATATATACTTTGCAAACAACATAACTACGTATCTGCAATGTAGCTAAGCTGTACCTATTTAGTAAAAGTACTTAAGATCACCAAACGCCGGCACATTAAATGTATAGTATAAATTTTGATACGGGTATTGAAATGGGTTCTCAAAGCTCAGTCGTAATGTTCCAGCATCAAGTGCAGTTAAATATTTGGTATCCTAAAAAATAACTGATTAAAAAGTGTATAACCTTTATATGACAACCTTTTTTTACCTCTAAAATATAATCTCGTATTCTCGTTCCTGCCACCATTATCAGCAATGGGCTTTTATCACATTGGGGCTGCTTTCCTCCTTGCCTGCTTTCCAATAAATTAATAGTCTTATAGACCAATTCCTCAGTTAGCTGATCACAATGCATTACATTAACATACTTCAACTTTGGACAACCATCCAATAACTCCAATACTGCTTCGTTAGTAACGGATCGGCAGTACCTTAGGCTAACGATTTCCATGTCTTTTAATGAGCTAATGTGTCTTAAACACGTGACATCAATATATTTGCTACAGTCGCAACCGAATACCTTTAATTTTTTAAACAGCGACAAAGATCTCATGCCTTCGTCAACAATGAGTCGGGGTGAGAAAATACGCAAACACTGCAGCTGCTCACCTTTGTATTCGGCTAATGCGTTTAATAATAAATTGAATGATTTTGTTCTAAAAAATTCTGCAGACAATTCTAAGTCAATTAGTTTTGGCAGTTGCGCTATAGCATAATATTCAATGGTTTGATTGCAGGATATATTAAGCTTTTCCAAGTTGATACAATACACCGGCAGCGCTGAAATAGCTACATCTGTGAGTGCTTCACACCACTGTAGAGTAAGCTTTTTAAGGCCCTTAAGCGAGGTGCAAATTTCAACAAAGAAATCATCTTGTATACCACATTCCACAAATGTTAGTTCCTTTAGGCATTTAAGTTTGCTTAGATAACGACCTAAATTTTACCAAAGGTGATTTATATTCTGATAAAATTTTTATTTACTGCAAAATACCTGTTACGTTTTCCTCTCCTTCTAATTTTAATACTTCTAAAGTGGCTAACTGGGCTATACTCTGCATTGCATTGTCATCCAATGAGCACTTTTGTAAATGCACACTGGTAAGATGCTTCATGTTCATAAGCAGTTTACGTAAACACTTGGACTTTATTTTAGTCATTCCAAAGTAAATTCGCAGCACATTTGGACAGTTTTTATGTACTTGGGTCACATATTCGTTACGTTCCTGATCGGTGTAGGGTAGATTTATAAGTTCCTCCAACGTACTGCCTGCCATTTCGAAAAATCGCCTTATCTCACGTGCGCTCATATCATTGAGGTCATCTTTTTGCAGTACTTTGTGATGTCTCTGGCAGTAATATTGAAAAACATTTCGTAAACGTGGGCAAATCATCGCCAAACGCACCTGATCCGGCAATTCTAGTTGCTTAAATATTTCAAGTAGGCAGTCATCATTTAGTATCAAAATACTCGCATTTGTGCCATCCTCCTTTAAAGTAGAGGATGCATCTCTATTTGGGTCACTCATTTCTTTGTTAAATTTCACTTCAAATATTTACTAATATAAATTTAAGAACTTATTGCCGGCATTAAAAATTAGAATTCACATCCCGCACGTAAACAGCTGATTGGTAACAGCTGTTTAAAAATTAGTTTAAACTAGGAATTTTCGATATCTTATCGATTATTCTGAATATCAATATTTCATGGCACGATAATCTATTTTTTGAATCGATATTCCAAGGTCGATATATCGAAGACATCGATACTTTACCCGCAATATCGATATTTGAGTTGAAAGTTATTTTTAATCTACAAAAAATTGTAGGGGTGGCCCGATCCAAAAGAAAATTCCACACGCTTGTAGTCAAGGGTCTACGCACTATTTTAACACTCACTTTTGTAAATTTTGGTCAGTAATTTATTTACAATCTGGGTTTGAAATATGCCGTTTTTTGTAAAGTTCGGAAATTAGCGTACATTTATCACTCCTATTCTCCTAAAAGCAGCCACTTCACCAATACATTTTTGTATTCCCCTTCACCTTACACTTTACTTGCTTTACGACTTTAATATTAACCAATTAATCACAATTCATTAAATAAAAACACCTTCAAAATCACGCGTCTGACTTTGGTTGCATATGCAAATTGAATGGCGGAGTTCAGCTGTCAAGCTCCAAAATATGCAAAAGAATGAGAGACAAAAGAAGATAGGATATAACCCAAGAATGATAGAATACAAGATTGAGCCGATCAGAGAGGATTTTTGAGAATAACTTTTTTGTGACGTCACACTGGTGCAATTGCGAGAGCGGAATGCCAAAACGTGAGCAAGAATGGAAGAAGAAGAAAAATTGTTGCAAGGAAAAAGTAAACAATTTGCACAAGTGTGACGTCATGCAAACAATGATTCTGTCAAATTCGTTAAGAGAGGAATAGCGGTCCGAGATCGGCGCAACCCAAGAATGATAGAATACAAGATTGCGCCGATCAGAGAGGATTTTTGAGAATAACTTTTGTGTGACGTCACACTGGTGCAATTGCGAGAGAGAAATGCCAAAACGTGAGCAAGAATGGAAGAAGAAGAAAAAATGTTGCAAGGAAAACGTAAACAAGTTGCACCAGTGTGACGTCATGCAAACAACGATTCTGTCAAATTCGTTAAGAGAGGAATAGCGGTCCGAGATCGGCGCAACCTTTGTATTCTCTCAATCGTGGATATAACCCAGTAAGCATTACAAATATACGCAGGTGTTCTCTGCAAAAGGTGTTCAGCTCCTTTTCTTCGCAAAACAGAAAGGGGAATTCTACTGCCTGAGGATTATAATCAGGCATGGGCAGAGAACGAGCATACGCTCAAAGAGCGTAATCATCGTGTGTACGTATACAAGCAAGAGCGTAACGATGAGAACGCGACAGCAAGCACAATGAATTAGGCACACTAACACATTCTCACTTTTAGCTAACGGTTGTTTGTGGTAGTGCCCACTTCTGGTTATAATCCCTAAGTGCGGCCGAAGGCCGCCTACGCAGAAAGTGTTCTCTGCAAAAGGTGTTCAGCCCCCTTCTTTGCCAACACAGAAAGGAGAATTCTACTGCCTGAGGGTTCCCTGCAAAAATCGCGACTACTCCATGCATGCATGTAAAGAGTACTCCCGAAGGACCAAGGAGTACTCCAAAATTAACCACAATTCATATAAAAAATATGGTCCAATTAACATTGCGATGTCCTAGGGCAGGACCATATACTCCATCTCTGCATTACATCAGAGTAGCACAAAACTACTCCCAACATACTCCAATGACATTGTCGTTATATTTTTTCGTTTGTACACGCTTTTGTTCTTCACTTCGCAGATGCTTTTTTTGAAATTAATAAAAACCAGAAACAAAAATTAAAAATTACATGTGGCCTCTGACGACATTCGAACCCGAACATGCAGCATTATGCAGCGTTTTTGCTGCATTTAAAATGCAACATTTAGCACTTTCGAACATATGTTTTCGAAGAGCGTTCATGCTATAGCATTTAGCAAATGTACATTTACGCGAGTTCGAAATCGTATGCTTTTGACAAACAGCCGTGTTCCAGTCCTTATTTAGATCGTATATCATTACGATAAATTCTCACGAGACAGATAATGTGCAAAAACCCCTACTGAAAAGGAAAAAATAAATTTTAAACCAAAATTCAATACAAAAACTCTGAATTGTTTTAACCATAACCGAACATTTGTTTGTCGTATATATTTATTTGTCGGTGCTCAATTAATTTTCCCACTCTAATTAGGAAACAAACCAAACAGAGTTGATCACAAATTGATCCAGATTTCTATCAGTCATCAATTCGATGTTGAATTTGCTTAACTTTTCTTTATCCAAATAATGTAATCAAAATAAAAGAAATCTCGGATCGGCGATCACTGAAACGCAGCTAGACTGTATACCCGAAAAAGCAATGTTGCCACTTTTCCTCTTTAAACCATGTTCGAATCGTGGAAATTTTGGAAGATCACAGGGTATGCTTTTAGCATTTAGATTCTTAATGCAAAAATGTAGTTGCATTTAGTTGCATTTAGGTGACGAATTTTGTATGGATAAATGTACATTTAGAGTAGCATTTAGAGCTAAATGCGCTAAATGTGCTTTTACGCGTAATGGGCTGTTTTTGCTTACGCGTAAATGTACATTTAGCGCATTTAGCTCTAAATGCTACTCTAAATGTACATTTATCCATACAAAATTCGTCATCTAAATGCAACTAAATGCAACTCAATCTTTGCATTTAGAATCTAAATGCTAAAAGCATCCCTGTGATCTTCCAAAATTTCCACGATTCGAACATGGTTTAATGAGAAAAAGTGGCAACATTGCTTTTTCGAGTATACAACCGCTAGCTGCGTTTCAGTGATCGCCGATCCAGATTTCATTTATTATTTTACATTATTTGGATAAAGAAAAGTTACGCAAATTCAACATCGAAATGATGCTGATAGAAATCTGGATTAATTTGTGATCAACTCTGTTTGTTTTGTTTCCTAATTAGGTGTGGAAAATATAATTGGCAGCACCGACAAATGAATATATACACAAACAAATGTTCGGTTATGGTTAAAACAATTCAGGTTTTTGTATTGAATTTTCGGTTTAGAATTTATTTTTCCTTTTCAGTAGGGGTTTTTGCACATTATCTTTTCCGTGAGAATTTATCGTAATGGATACGGATCTGAATAAGCGACTGGAACACGGCTGTTTGTCAAAAGCATACGATTTCGAACTCGCGTAAATGTACATTTGCTAAATGCGATAGCATGAACGCTCTTCGAAAACATATGTTCGAAAGTGCTAAATGCTGCATTTTAAATGCAGCAAAAACGCTGCATAAGCAAAAACAGCCTATAAATGTACATTTAGAGTAGCATTTAGAGCTAAATGCGCTAATGTGCTTTTACGCGTAAGCAAAAACAGCCTATAACTTCAATCACATGTCGTTAAAACACGAGCAGTGATCGGGTAACAATAAGCTGGTGCAGAGACACGAGTTGGTCCGCTACAGCATGACAGAGGAGCACTTTTGTAAGTACTCCAATATACCACAAATAGACTACATGGTCCAACGATTTTTGCAGGGTTATAATCCCTAAGTGCGGCCGAAGGATGCCTACGCAGAAAGGAATTCAACGCAAAAATACATTTGTTAAAAAGAACATATTTTTTTATATAAACTTGTTTTGTCTATTTTTAGCTAACTTTTTTATTCTTTATTCAAAATCTCCCGATATCTAATTTGCCATAATTTCTTTTATTAAAAAATCCCACGGTTTCTGTTAGTTGGGTCATATTCCACTTCAAACTGCTCAGTTTGCCTAAGAAAATTCCGTTTTTCCCAAGGGGGGGTTACGCCTTTTTAGAAAGCCGGGACTGTCCCCTTTCAAGGGGGGGAGTTTGGGGGGCCTCGCCCCCTCCCTCTCCGCCCACCCCAAAAACGATGTGAGCGCTACTAAACATTTCCCGGGGAAAATACTAAAGTAGGTTTAATCAGCAGCTTGCGTGATTTATTTAGCTCTTAAGTTTGACAAACTGCTTGAGTCGACCGGCATGCTGTTTTAATCCTCAGTATGGCACTGGGCACATTACGCGCTTTATCAAAGTAGAGTAATCGTTTCGTCATGCCGAAACGAATGCATAACGACTCGAGTTCTGTACACTTGCTCGCCGTGCATAAATCACCAGCTAATAAACACTTTCTACACATAACAAATTTTCTGGCCGTTCTTTCGCAACTACGCACTTCCTCAAATATTTCTGCTCCGAAATATTGCATAAACGCTTGTGGTTTAATACAATTTGCACGAATTTTAGCACGAAATTGACAAATAAATTTTATTTCCAACAAAAAAAGTAAACAAATGATGACTTCAAAACTATAAGCGCCTTACAATGTTGGGCGCTTCGATTCATGACGCTTTTATGTTTGGGCGAAAACAAGATTTTGAATCGTAATGTACAGAGCTTCATTGAAACACATGTGTTCCGCATAAAAGCTTTATACTTTAGTATGCCGAAACGATTACACTACTATGATTAGGAGCTTAATGTGCGGAGTTCCTTAATATACAAGATGGAAAGAACACAACTTAGTAGTTTTGTATAAATATCTGTACAAAAAATACCTTCCACTTTTTCTACTTCCCAGAAAATATATAATAAAAATCTAACAACCACTTGATCAAGTGAATTGCAGCGGAATAGCTGCGCTTGATTATAGTTGGCTCAACAAGTGAAATAGTGGAAATAAGCAACAAGAATTACCAAGGCGAACTTAGCACAGTGCGTAGGCAGCTGGCTGAGTCAGTTGGATCGTCGGTTCGAATCCTGCTGAAAGAAGTCTGCTGAGGAAATGTGGTGATTTCGAAATAGCTATCACTTCTGCCATTTTTGCAAATTAAAAAAACGGCCTCAAGCTCAATAAAAATTGTTGAAAAATCTTTGATGTAAAAAATTGATTCGCTTAAGTAAATATACATATGTACATAAACACAAAGTTAAAATTATGTATATATGTATACATACAATAAAAGTTGGCTCTTTATTTCCGGGCTGGGACGTGTCCCGTCGTGCCAGGC